TTCCTATTTTTTAACCACCGCCCTAAAAAAAGAAAAGATAGGATAAAAATGAAAAAATAAAGGGAAAGACGAAGAGGAAAGGGAATGAAGAAATATAATTATTCTTTTTTAAATTAAGAAAAATTTATTAAATTTATTATTCGAATTCAATCAAATCCAACTGATCAAATATACAGTGGTGTGCAAAAAAAATGATAATTTTTTAAATCATAAAATTGCTCATTCATTATATGCCTGAGACTCGTTTTATCTTTTACACAAAAACCACCCCATACGAATATTTTATTTCGGTCCTTTGGCATTGGACGAATTGGCCGCGCGCTTCTATACTAATGCTTTATTGTATTATGAAATAACTGAAAAGCCGTTTCATCACTAAATAGTATTCTATTCCAATTATCATTTACTTGCTGATCTTTTTTCCAAAAAAATTACCATTACCTTTTACGACAATATTTTGTTGATTATCATGTTAATTGGCATGAATATGCATTATGTAAATTTTTAATTAACCAAATAAACTTTAATTTTAAAATTTAAACAATACAATATTTTTTTTGGCATTGATAAGTGTGAAATATATCTGCTAATTTTTAAGGTTTTGAATTTTAAATTTACCAAATAAATTTTTATTTAAAAAATATAATTGGCGTTAATATGCAGTATGTGTAATGCATGTAACTAACGCATATAATATTTAATGTTTTAATTTACCGAATTTTATTTACCATTTATCGAATAAAATTTTTATTTAAATAAATTAAATGAAGTATAAACTAAAGTAAAAAAGAAAAAATAATCCCTTTATAAAAAAAAACATTCTTTCAAAAAAATTCCTCCTTTTTTTCTCAATTTCATTAAAAAATTCATCATTAATAATGGATCCTACGAGACCACAATATGATTTAATTAGTCTTGGATTAAATGAATATGTCGCAAATGAATTGGTTTTTGATGTGGTTCATAATTTAATGCAACTTTTTAGTGAGAATGATTGTAATTGTCGACAAAGTTCAAAAAATAAAAAAAATTCACAAACTTGTTATGAAAAAGTTGGTTTCAAAAATTTTTTTGAGAGACATATTGAAATTCGTTCTTTAGACAAATTACAATTTGAACTATTCTTAAAAGCACAACTAATGTCATTTGAAATAACTAGTGAAAATATTAAAAATCGTATAAGAACAACATATAAATATAATTTCAACAATTCCCTTCCCCTTTGTAAACCAACATATTTAAAATTAATTGGAAAAACTGAATACTATTTAACAGCAATTCAAAAACATTTACAGGAAAATGGATTAATAGAACGTACTCATGGTAATACTGGTCGAGCACCAATACTTTTATCACGTGCTTATATTAACATAGATGTTTCATCTTCAGTCAAAAATTTTTTAATACAATATAGTAACATTTATGGTTTACCATCTCCTTTACGTCATCGAAATGATTCAGGTGTCTTTATTTATTTATCTACTGAAAAAACATACACATCTATCTATGAAGAATATATTAATAATATTGAAGATAATCAGACAATTATTTCTTATAATGTCTTTACAAAACTTTGGCATGAATTAGTACCACATATAAAATTTCAAACATCGGCAAGTGACTTGTGTGAAACCTGTGAAAATCTTAAAGCAGAATTAAAAATAGCAAAGCATGATATAGAAGAACATAATAAAATCAAAATTCAATATGAAATGCATTGTAAAGCAGCAAATCTTGAGCGTGAACATTATAATAAAAATATTAATGAAAGCAAAAATAATAAAACAATAGCACATATTTGTTATGACTGGGCGCAAAATGTATCAGTTCCATATTCACCACAGCAAGTTGGAACTCTTTATTTTAAAAATACTTTTTCTGTTCATTTATTTGGTGTATGCAAGACTGAAGGTGGTCAGAATTATCAATTAAATTATTTAATTGCAGAAGATGAGTTTCCTAAAGGGACAGCCAAAGGGGCTAATACTACTTTAAATATGGTATATAATGCACTTCAAAAATTTGCTCGTATAGGAAAAAAACATTTAAGAATTACTTGTGACAATTGTGCAGGACAAAATAAAAATAATCTTTCTTTATGGTTTTGGGCATGGTTAATTATGTTAGGATGGTATGAAGAAATTATCGTAAATTTTATGATTCCGGGTCATACAAAATTTATATGTGATGCATTTTTTGGACATATTAAAAAAGTATATAGAGATACAAGAATTAATACAATCAATGATATAGAGAGAATTGTGAATTGTTCATCTAAAGGAAATGAAGCAATTTGCTATAAAAATGGATGGATTTGGTATAATTTTGAAAGTTTTTTTAAAAATCATTTTATTCCTCTGCCTAATATAAAAAAATACTATCATTTCCGTTTTAGTAATTCACCTAATGACATCGGTAAAGTTTATGTTTCAAAGGAATCTGGAGGATTAGAAACATCTTTTGAACTTCTTCGTAATAATAGTTTTGATAAAAATGGCAAAATTGGTATAATTCCAATTTCACCATTAACAAAAGAACGAAAACAATATTTATATTCTAATATTCGTAAACACGTTGACGAACCATTTAAAGAGGTTCATTTTTCTAAACCTGATGAACATTAGCTTATTAAATAAATAAATATATTAAATTGTTAATTAAAATAAAAGGTACAGAAAATTTATTTAAAATTAATAGAAAAAGTAGGAAAAGGAATAAACGAAATGAGGGAAAAAAAAAAGTAAAAACAAATGACAAAAAGAAGCGAAATATTTTATAGAATAAAAAAAAGGTACAAAAATAGGAAGGGAAAAATGAGCAATAAAAGGGAAAACAAAAGAAGATATGAAAAAGGAGGAAGTCCCATAAAGAAGAGGGAAAGGAAAATAACGTACGAAAAAAGGAGAAGAAAAGAACGAATAAAATAAAAGTGGTCGCTTACTTGGACACGAAGAAAAATGCAAGTTGGTAATTTTCGTCATCAACCATCTCCTCGCGCAAATTTAAGCACAGATGCAGTGTGTGAAGCATTAAAAGAATATAATTCAAAAAGCTGGATTAAATGTAAAGGTCGTCAGATCTATTACGTGCAATATAACAACAAATGGATAAGGTTTCTCAAGAGGAATCCCTACCGATTCGAACTTCAAAATTTTTCAGCTTTGTTTAGTGCCACTATATTAAAATCATTTTTTTGTCGTACAAAATATGTAGTTAAAGGAATGTTGAACAAACTCACCGTTCATTTTAAAAATCAACCTTTCTATATTCTCGATATACCGAAGTCAAATTTTTAAGAAAGAAAATAAAACACTAGTCTCCTCATATTTTGCAATACCTTTACTTGATTGATATAACGAATACCAAAGTCCATTATATAAGTTAGCGATACTTCTGTATATCGAGAGTTATTTCTATTTAGTTTTGTGGAGTCGGTAATTTTTTTTTATTTTTTTTTGCTAGGGTTATACGATAAAAATATATAATTATATACTGTATAGTAGAGGTAAAGCAAATAAATATGAACCATTCATCGAAAAGTATTCCAGTTCTACAATCACTAGGAACAATAACTGCAACCTCCACATTTACCTCCTACCGAATATAATCTATATTATTCCGAAAATGAATTTGATTCTGATCACACTGAAAACGAATCTGAATATGATTCCGATTACTTTTATGTGGAGTTAATGGCCCTGAACAGGAAGTGCAACCATCATCATCATCACCAAAGAAGAAAAGTTGAAAGTATTGCGACAATTTATGAGGAAAGGACATCAATGAAGAAAATCGATAAAAAACCCGAGACGCATGTTGGAAAGGTGAGATACTAATTTTTTTTTTCGCGATAATATTAACATTTCAATGAGGTCAAAAATGCTAAAATTCTTTAAATTTTTTTCTTTTTTTTTTTAATAGCTCAATGAGGATTTTAAAAAGTTTGATTTTTACGATATTCCTTCAAGTTATAATCGATATAATGCAGCAGTCTTGTTTGCAACCTATTTAACGTTCAATAATATCGGCTTTGCTGGAACTTCCCGTTCAAACGATTTGATTTCTCCCCAGAAATTTGATGACTCTATTTACGTTTTCATTGATAATTCCAATATTTTAGCTGGATTCAATTTAAATTTAGAAACCGCAAACCAAAGGTTAAAAAGATGCCAAAAGTGCCCATATTAGATTATGATGCTCTTTTCAAAATCATAGAAAAGGGAAGGAATGTCAAACGCAAATGTTTAGCAGCTTCCAAACCATTGTTTAAACCACTCACACAAGCGGAACAAGCCGGTTATGAATGTTCAGTTTTACAACGTATTAATCAAAGAGAACAATGTGTCGATGAACTTCTCTAACTCAAGATCTATAAAATTTTGCTAGAGACTCAAGCGCCATCTACTTTGGTCCTCGCTAGTGGAAATGGAAATGATGCTGAATATAATGAAGGAGGCTTTTACAAATGTATAAAAAACGCTTTGGAACTTGGTTGGAAAGTCAAATTTATTAGATGGAAATACCAATTGAATAAAAACTTTACACAGCAACGCCTTCCTTTCCAATGGAAAATTTGCCACAATATATGAACGAGATAGGAAAGGGCTTACCATTTGCACTTTTGGTTCTTATGCATCTGAGTGCCAAACTAAAAGAAGCGTGGGTTGAAATAGGAAAACAAGTTACAGAAAATAGTGAAAAAAAAAAATTAATAATAAGGAGGAAAAAGTAAATGAAAAGAAAAAAAAAAGAGAAGATACAAAAAAGGAGGTAATAGAAAATAAAAGAAAGAACAAAAATATAAAATAAAAAAAAAAGTGAAAAAAGAAGGAATAAAAAAAGAAGATTCCATCAGAACCTCCTTCTTTGAATTGATTTGATCGAACGGAGAAAGGAAACGTAGATGATTCCAATCAACGGCGGTTGACATTATAAGTTCCATGAAGAACTAATAGTATTATCATTCGAAAAAAACTCAAAGGAAAAACAACAATAAGGAAAAAAAGGGGGAGAAAAAAGGAGGGAGGAAGAAAGAACGAATAAATGGAGGAGAAAAAGAAAATGAGAATAAATTAAAAAAATTGAAAGAAAATAATGAACGAAAAAATGGAAAAAAGCTTAATGCTTTGGCATTGGCAAATGTTTCAGAAAAGGTACTCCTACCTTGATGTATAATGGTAGTGTTCGTGCTGTTAATCAGGGAAAAAAAGTAACGGGTGACCTCGTAATGTTAGCGATCAAAAAAAATAGGAACAAAAAAAAAAGATATTTAAAAAAAATAAACAGAAACTATTTTTATTTTTTTCTTTATTGATAAACTTACTGCAGAATGATCAAAATATATATTTTAAACTTGCGGCTACAAAAAAAAATTCAAACTATAAATGCGAACATCTTTCATCATGACAAAGTAGTAAACCTTTTATTTTTTAGCGTGCGGTAATTGATTTCACGAATCGAGTCGACGACTCAATAAAACATCTATATTTTAAACTATTTATAGAATTTTTATTAATAAAACTTAAAGCTCAATTGCTCGTCTTGGTACTATGATTATATGGTATGATTTTTTAGCCAAATGAAGTTCATGTGTAACATATTGAAATGAAATTAAAATCTTAATTTTCATTGGATGGGTCTCGAAATGTGATTTTGCTGGCAACGAACCCATAT